CTCTGTTATTGTTAGGCTGTTGATCATCGTTGTCTTCTCGTTCTTCCTCTCTTGAACCTTGTCCAGGGTTTCCATCGACATCCATCCCTTACGATGGTACTTTTTTGATCCCTTTCCAGTTGTCCTTCATAGTGGTTTCTCCGTCATTGAGTAGATCCTGTAAGGCTCGGAACCTGTTGTTGAGAGTTATCTCAAATTCGTTGAGTTTGTCAGTATCCCGTAGGAATGCTGTGTTGAACGTTTGAAATGCTGTTTCCCCGATTGTCTAATGCTTCTTTGGCTTCAGTTTTATTTTGGCTACCACCGGGTGGTGATCTGAAGCTATGTCAGCACCTCCATGGGTTCTTACGTCTTCCATTGACCTTGTGAATGTTTTACTGGTGCAAATATGATCTATCTGTTTTGAAGGATGTTTTATTGATCCTGTGCGTCTTTGAACAACAGCAGTGCAGCTACTTGTGTGTGCAAAGCATTTTCTTCTTCGTGACCAGAGTGCAGCAGCATCTTTCCTGAATCTATCCTTTTCTTTTTTAGAACCTTCGCTGTCCAGCGAGAGTCCAATGGGTTTCGCTGATTCCGAAAACCGTCAAGTTGTATTTCCTCATTTCCGTAGTTGTTTGATGAGTCCTCCTAGTCTCCAACATTGAACGGATATTCCATGTACCTATATTGATTTTTGCTATGAGCGTTAGAAGGGACATCGGCCTCGTGACTTCCGAAGAACCTCAGCTTTCATCATAAGGCGTATAATTCTTTTTTCAACTAAGAGGGCTGACTTCAAGTGGTTTAATGTGTTTATTCTGGTTAGTGTATTTTTAGCAAAGTTGTTTTCTACGGGATGAGGTTGCTGACCCTAAGCCCAACCCTTCTACTTTACCTGGGCTTGGGACCAGCAGTAGTCCTGAAAGATCTACAGGCAGAGCTACCAATCTTTACAGCCAACTACAAATCGTGCCATTAAAAAATTGGTCGGCGCCACGTGGTTCAAATATTCTGTGGTATCCAGTACTGGGGAAAACGTCAAAAAAAACTAGATATTAACATTTGAAATATAAACTTATAGTGTTTCCCATCGACTCTACATTTTCATATTTAGATTTATCTTAAACGATACATTCTGTAAGCTCTGAGAGGCGTTGATAATTTTATGATCGAGTCAAGTGAAATGGTCCACCAGGGTTTTAGGTACCTGAAGAGCTGCACTAGATAAAACTATGATATTCGCGTTGCGAAAAGACTGGAATCTGGTTCTTCGGAAAACCAGTATAAAGTATCCTTTTACATAGTTGTTCGTGCAGCGGTACCCCACCGATTTAGCTCAAATCATAAACCAATGGATTTGTTGACTAATGTCGCCTCTAGGTCTTAGTGTTATTAACTTTCACTTAACTTTTTTATATGCTAGATGGATTAGGTCGGACAATAAGTGGTCATTGATAATTCCATAAGGTTTTTGTTATCAACCGAGGATCCACTTAGGGGGATGGAAAACCCTGACTCCGGGATCCTAAGGGAATGAATAGCGTATGAACCTATTGTTGGTCACCGGCTACCATGGGATTGCAATTCCTAACGTTATTCCACTGCCTTGTGGATTAAACCTTTAGGTTGAAGAATCCGGATGCTTTATAACTTAATGCTATACCTACCCCCGAGGTTGCGGAAGTAGCAGTGGAGTCTCCGAATACTCAGAGGGTGAATCGTGCCATATCTTTATATTGATAAAGTGAGGTCAAGCGAATAACAATACTTAGAATCTGTATGTGTGTTTCGGATACGAAGCATGCATTGATAGCGTGTGATTTCAGAGTCCTAGCTAAAGAACTCTGTTCTATCTGACACAAGGTTTTAACATTATAAGCTCCAAAATGCAGTTTACAGAGTGGATTCAGGAGACCAGGACTAACATTTTGCGAATTCAAATCAGCACCGATGGTGCGTGATAAAAATAAATGAGAAGGGTTAGTCGTAGGGATGATAGAATTATTAAGAGGTCAGGGAGGGATTCCATAATCAGCAAGGTGATCTCAAGTGCTGATAAAGATATGAGGGCGGTTGTCACTTCACGGTTGCCCACATCAAGGAAGGTTATTTCTTCTTGAGTAACCTGGAGAAAAGGCTGTATTAGTGGTGGTCTTTGTGTTCTGGGAGTGAGATTACCGAGCCCAAGGGATAGTTACTTGAGGTCAATCGCCTATGGCCTTTTTATGAGAAGTTTTGATGTGTTACTTCTGCAATCCTAAAAGCCTTACTGCCGGAAATGAAAACCCTTGGGGTAAGGTGAGGTGTGACACTTGCTGTCAACCTTTTCTAACCTCTTCCTCCCATTATGGCAAGGCGGCATTACTGCAGGTGCTGATTGCCCGAGGCAAACACCTTACTACAGTCACAACACTCCAAAGTCGGCAGTATGATTTTACCTTTGAACCTTAAGTTGCTGCTTTTAATCTTACTGTTTTCCAACCGTTCTGCCTGGCACGGTAGGACCTAAAGGAGCATGTATTTCAACCCAATATAGCTCTGTTAAGGCAAGTTCGATCACCATATCAAGATAACAAGGTCGGGAATATTCTTCAATATACTTACAATTTTGCGCAAAATCCGAGGAGATATCCCAACCCTGATCAGCTTACTCAAGGTCATCAGTATAGTGTACCTTTACTGGAAAATACTAAGTTATGCAAATATCCCATCAAATACAATTTTGTGTTATAGTTTGGGCTAGAGATAGTATCAGCTACACAAACTGAAGTAGAGAGTAATTCGAACCTAATTTTTTTTGCTCATTTTGAAGTGTGACAAAATCAAACTAATAAGTGTTATGGTGGGTAGCTCTGAAGGAAATTAGGGACAGTTTATTCATAAGCTCTGATTGGGACTGCCACGAAGAATAGATAGCCGTAATTAAATGCAAACATACTTTGACGGTGGTAATCGTATTGTTCCGAAAGCTGACGAATAATAGGGGCTTGATCAAGACAACCAGGGTAGGGTTTACAACATTTGACTTTTTTCCTGTTTATAATCTTTTGTTCTATAGAGTAACTAAGAAAGCGATGACCAAAAGAACCATCTTACTTAAACTGATATGGCTATTGCAAAGCGACCTGTTTTCTAATAAGTTAGAACTGACGTTTTTTGTCAAAAGCGGCATCTATGACGTGTAAAGTAACATCTGGACGCGAGCACAGTTCATATGACCCAGTAACTAACTACATATTCGTTTACTTGGACCTGAACCAGATTATGATAGCTATTTATAACATTCGTCTCTCAAAATAGGTAAGTGAGACGGTTCGAGTCAACAACTTAGTGTCAGACTATTTTGAAAAGTCAATCAGGTTCCCCAACTGTGGCAACTTATTCGAGTTATGCTGGATAAAACGTCTGTTTATTGTCATGCAAACTAGATGTATTATTCGTAGTATGACATAGAAGCCGTACTCCTAAGGGCACCAGGGGGTTGGGGAAGTAAAGAGTAACCAGCATTCTCAACATTGTCTTAACGGACTGGCATAAATTATTTGAAGCATATACCATTGATTGTTTGTCGGTATTAATAAAAACATGGGTCAACTACTATGAAGAATGTAATGATCTATAAACGAAAATTCAACCAAGCACATAACGAAATCGTACTGCGTATTTATCTATACTATTCCTTAGCGAAAATAATACCTGCTTTATTATATACTGTAGTTGCAAAATAGGAACAAATGTGCACTCATGTTTGGAGTTGGCTCAAGTTATTCTAAATAACCAAAAACACAAACAGTGAAAAAACTAAGCACCCAGAAGGACGTTAAATCCATTACAATTAGGATTAGTAAAGTTCCACCTGAGACTGATGTGTTGTTAACTGATAACACTAAGCTGATATAAGTAATGAATCCAGAGTAAAAGTTTATTAGAAAAGTAGAGAAGCAAAGTATGAGCTGGGAATACGTTGCGGTTCAGAATGAGTAGTTAAGTATTTTGATGAGATTGACTGGACAATATATGGACACTAATAGTAATAAATAAACACAAGAAGTTAAACCGACGGAAACGCATGTTTAGGGCGTGGTGTTTAAGGGGGGATAATATCAAATTTAGGAAGTGTTACTTTATTTATAGCTATTTACTTCGGTTATCCGAAAAACGAGCTGGACAAACTTCCGATCATTACAACACTCATGAACTATTGGGACCTTTGGTCTAGACAACCTGGTTACCATCTTACTTTATTTTTTAATTCAACCAAGTATGAATATAGTTAGATGGATGAACACGGTCAATGTATTGTTGGCTAGAAATTACGTACATGAAACAAAATCAAGTGATAAAATTAGTATTATATCGAATTGGTGTGGTCTTAGAGACGATATTTTCAAAGTAAGGAGTAGAGACTACCAGGGAAATATTCATGACACTATTCGGTAAGGTTCTCTTGGGTATGCTTAGAACATCTATTCACACATCTAACACTTAGTTCACAATTTTGCTCGTAATAAACTACATGTTTATCACAGAGTGGCCAAGACGTTAACCAGGTAAGACAGTTGCCTGAACTACCACAGTAAACAAGTACTAATAAAATAAAAGACACCACTTCAGCCTAGAAACACGCAAGGGGATCATGCAACCCTAGGTAGTGACGGAAGGATAAGTTGAATAAATTTTACATGCTGGTGCCAGAATGAGTAGATAGGCAAGAGGGTCATTAATGGATTCTCCCCAATTATCGGAAGTATTGTAACTGGTGCTTACGATCGAGGATCAAAAACATTCACCTTAGAGAAACAAAACATGTTAAGTGTTCTGATTGCAGACGCGGAGCAAGGAGATTCAGACAACTCCAATATGTGCACGCCCTAGCTTATAATGTATGTCAGGAAAGGCATTTGCACTCCTACAGTATTACTAGTTGATTGTAACAGTAAAAAACGGTTGACATTGTCCTACAGTGTGTATTATATAGTCAGCTTCAAACAATACCTTAGTTAGAAATGCTTACTTACCTCATCTACAACAGTATTCTCATCATAATCGTAAGACATACTACGACAAAAGTGCACACGCGATAACAAGAATAATCAGCGATCTAACTCGTGAACACTAAAACAAGTCCCGCCCAAATGTTCCAATACTCTATAGACCAACGAAACTGTTCAGTCTTCAGTAGTAATGATAAGTCAATCGACTTATGTTCATCCATGAAACTTTTATTACTATGAAGAACCAACCACGCTACGCGCTCGTTTCAAAAAGGGCAGTGATTTTTGTACTTGTGATTATACTTGCCTTGGGTACATATTGCACCAAAAAGCATTCTTGGTCTACTTTAACTAAAAGTACTTTGGTTAAAGTTTGAAATTTTTGCTAAATTTTGTCCTAGGTACCTTTTTTAACTTCTAGACTAACACTTGTGTTCACATTGGGATCATTGTGTGTTTTCAAACCTTTTAAATCTAATTACAATGGTTGGTAAGACTCACAAATGTGGGCAACCAAATTGTTCGTTCCCCGTTGAGGATGCTCGAAGCCTAACTCGCATTGGCTTTGTATGTTCTGCTGTACAGATAAAAAGGTACTAATTCAGGAGGCTATGGGCCTATTGGCTTTGGCCTGCAAGGAAAACGATGATACATGCGCTGACAACACCGGCAATGACAGTGACGATTGTGTCAGTGTAGTACCTGCTGTTACGCGACGCCTCAAACAACCGACGCAAGAGTGAGATCGCCGTTAACATTAACAAGGGGAGTAATACCACCTGGTACTGACATTGATAACAATGCACCTTTAGTGGGAACCGACGAACTGGATAAAACCATCACCGTTCCAAATAGTCCCACTGTCTTGAGGGATGAAAAATGAATTACGGTACGTAGGAAACGAAACGAAAGGAAAAAAGCTGTAGGCAGTACACAGGTAGTTAGTAACTCACTGATGGACTCTCATTGTGAGTCACATACTGCACTACCAAAATCTGATGGTAAGAGTGAAACCCATCCTGGCGTGACTGAGAAGAAAAATCAAATGACAGCTAAAACTAATGACTGTTTACTTAATAAGTCCTTCGTGGACTCTCAGACCAATCCGCCAAAGCTCCAAAGTAAAGCTTCGTCTAACACTGTTATGAGTCACTCACAGGACTCTGTTACAATAAAAGCTAATCGTAAGATACCTGTAGTTAATATACAGGATCTATCGTCACGGTCCAAAGCTGTTAACGCAATTTCAAAGGAAGCTAAACCCCATCCTAGTTTAATTATTTGGAATCTAGAGGAGTCGAAAGATAACGATCCTGCCAGAAGACATGCACATGACCTGCAGTTAGTGGAGTCTGTGGTAAGAAATATGCTACCTGAAGAGGTTTCAGGGGTACATATTACAAAAGTAATACGACTCGGTAAATGGGTTGGAGGCGAGACCCAACCAAGGAGAATCCTGAAGCTGGTTCTCGGGAGTTTCGAAGAAAGAGACATATTATTGAAAAGAGCACCAAAAACTCGTGCCTCAAATATCCGTATTCGACCAGATTGGCCGCTTGAGGATCGAATCAAGTGGGAGAATGCTCTTACGGAGTTGAGGACTCGCAAGTTAAATGGCGAAAATAACCTTACCATTAAGGGTTTTCGGGTAGTCAGGTCTTGGAAGCCAATGCTTCTGAGGCCTGTATGGGTAGAACGATTGATTGCCAAAACACCTTAAGTGTGTGCTACACGAACGCTCGTAGTCTTAGAAATAAAACGTCCGAGCTAAGTCTGATGGTGGAAGAATTATGTCCCGATATAATCGTTGTTACAGAAACTTGGTTCACAGTAGATATAGACTGTTCTCCTTTCATTGCAGGTTATATCTGTATTAGAAGTGATAGATTTTCAAGTCGCAAAGGGGGAGGTATAATATTATACGTTAGGGATCACTTTCGTATACAATTAACCATATCGGAGGCTTATATAAGTGGCACATGTGAGGTTGCATGTTGTAAGATTAAATCCAGAAATGGGTTAGTGACTATAGGGGGAATATACCGTAGTCCGTCTTGTCTTGCTGACGACTTTATCCTAAGAGACATCTGTTCTTGGAGTATGGCAGAATGTTATCTCATCATTGGGGACTTCAACGCACCGCATCTCAACTGGATAGAGCTTACAGTTCCAGGTAGTGGTTTCGATAGCGACCGTTTATCTACCGTTATTCAGTGTGCACTTGTACAATGTATCACAAAACCGACACATATTGATTTGCAACATGATCCGTCACTGCTGGACCTCGCCCTCACCCACCACTGTGAGAATGTCTTCGATATTCAACACCTTCCCCCACTAGCGAACAGTGATCACGTTGTACTTCACTTTAAGTTTAGGACACATGGTATACGATCCGTATCTGTTCCACCCCGTCCCAATATCTGGAGAGCCAATATTCCGGAAATCAGAAACTGTGCTTTCTCGACTGATTGGTCGGTCGACGCGGATGGATTGATCGAAGATGAATGGAATAAGTTCAAGGCTACATTCCAGTCCGTAACGTCGCCGTTTATCCCATGGTCAGCACGTAAGCTATCACACTGCCCTCCATGGATTAATAAGGAAACCCGGAAGCTGTTAAAGCGTAGGAAACATTTCTGAGACTTATTCTTGTTGACAGGTCATGCACCAGTTAAGCGTGAGTACCAAAAATTCCGTAATATCTGTAAGAAAACCATAGCCAAATCCCGTACGACTTACGAACGACAGTTAGTATATGATAGCCGTACTTGTCCGAAACGATTGTTTTCGCATGTTAATTGGCGAATGAAACGTAGTGACGGTATTCCTCCGTTACTGTTTCACAAAAATTCAGAATTACTAGCTGAATCAGATCGACCAAAATCCGAGACTTTTTCAGACTATTTTAGCGAAGTCTTCTCTACGTTTATTGTAACAAATACTTGTCCCACTCACACCAAGATACCAACCATTGAATCTGTACAGGTGACTGAGGAAACTGTCCTTCCGTTGATGACTAACCTCAAACCTGGTAAGATACCGGGCCCTGACGGGTTACATCCACGGTTGCTGTCATCTCTTGCGGATATTATTTCAAAACCGCTTGAGACACTCTTCAACATGTCCCTCTCACTCGCTCAACTCCCTAGAGATTGGAAGGACGCTATAGTTAGTCCTATATTTAAGGACGGTCAGCGACAGATAGTATCTAACTACCGGCCCGTCAGTCTAACTAGCATAGTCGTTAAGTTACTCGAAAAGATAATTCGGGTTAGGTTGCTAAGCCACATAGATTTACACAATCTGTTAGCTCCTGAGCAACACGGATTTCGTAACAAGCGTTCATGCTTGACTAAATTGCTTATTGCGAGGAAGGATTGGACAGCAGCCCTAGATAACGGTCTGTCTGTCGATGTGATATTCATATATTTTATCAAAGCATTTGATAAGGTTTCACACGTAGGTCTTATGCAGAAGCTCGCGAGCTTCGGAATAATAGGTACTGTACATGAGTGGATAGGAAATTTCTGATGTGACCGCAGACAGAGAGTGAGGGTTAACGGAACGCCATCCGACTGGAAGCCGGTCAAAAGTGGTGTACCCCAAGACACCATCTTAGGCCCTCTGTTCTTCCTTCTCTACGTTGATGAGTTACCGCTGTTAATTAGGTCGTCGACATTATTGTTTGCGGATGATGTAAAAATCTGGAGAACAATAAAAAGTGCGGCTGATCATCTGGATCTTCAAGCTAACTTAGACGATTTTGTTAGATGGGCTCGGGGTTAGAGCTTAGAAATCAATGCTAGGAAGAATGTGCTAATGCACATCGGTCACGGTAATAGTTACCGTTACACTATTGATGGTAAACCTCTTCAATGCGTTCAAGAGCATAAAGACTTAGGAGTTGTATTAAGTCATGATTTGAAAACAACTACGCATTGCAAAGCAGCCGCTGTCGAAGGTTTTCGTGCGTTATGGTCATTTCGCCGAGCGTTCAAATGCTTTGACGAGGAAACGTTTCGAATTTTATATCCCACATATGTTAGACAACACTTAGAGTACTGTATCCAAGCAACTAACCCGTGTCTGGTAAAGGATACCAACTCCCTTGAGCGTGTCCAGCGTGTGGGAACGAAATTAGTGAAGGGTCTTTTCAGACTCCCTTACGATGAGCGTTTAAAACGCCTAAATCTTTTCCCCTTGTCGTATCGTAGGACACGAGGTGACTTTATACTGGCATTTGTATCTTTAATTATGATTTGAGTGTTAATATGTCTTATCTTTTTGCTCCTTCCAGCAATAATGATCTCCGCAGTCATAGCAAGAAGGTTTATAAACCACGATCTAATAAACCTAAAGTGAGTTCCCGTTTTTCTCATCGAGTAGTCAATCATTGGAACGCCTTACCCGAACAAGTGGTATCAGCCCAATCAGTGAATAATTTCAAGGAGAAGCTGGACCTTCACTGGAAAGCAGTGTGTCAGGATTAATACAGGTTTATCAACCTACTATCCTTATTACTGAAGACTTAAGACTGCTCTTCATTTACCAAGAGTATGTGCTGATATTATGTGTTCCGTCAGAGAATTGCAGTAATTCACTACTCAGTGATAGAGACTGAACACGAGGTGTAAGCGATTTGATATCGAATTTTGAAATTCCTTAGAATGTCCTCTCAGATTATCAGTCCCTGGTGGAAGAAAAAGATAAGACGGAATAATACCAAAATCATCATTCAGTATACGGTAAGTCCGTATTATATCACCCGTAACCTGCTGTAAGATAACAGAAATAGATTGAATTGTCTCAGTCTGTCTTCATATGGCAGGCTAGAGAAACCGTTCTCAATTTTAATCCTTCATCGCCGAACTCGTTCTAGAATATCTGTCTCTAACATGAAACAAGGACTCGCTTTTTGAGTCCAAAAGCGAGGAGGTTCGAAGATATATTTGATAGGCTACCAATATGTCGAGAATCGTCTAATCTAATCTGTCTAGCGATTACAGGGTTTTTTGAGATCGGCGTCCCCATTCGTGATCTGGTGCTGACACACGAACGAGCGCCTTCAGATAGGTGAGTCCATTAAAACTAATGTGGTCAGCATCCAATGTCGAAAATTTACAGAGCTATTTATTTTGGGGATTTATTTACCGCTACATCTTATTTACATAGGTTCGACTTGATATCGACGAATGCATTCGATGCATATGGTAAACATACATGTGAACTCTAGTCATGTTGTTAGGTAAAGTAATGATCTAAATGAACATGTAG